TAGATTGTAGGAAGTTAAGGTCGAAGCATAATGATATGTCATCAGTACCAGCCCACTTGAGAACTTCAGCTTCCTCAGATTCAAAAGTGGCAGCTTGGGCAAGAATTTGTTGCAAAGGTCCCATTCTCCACTTCCTCCATGTTAGCACTCTTTGAAATTGTCTCTCAAGAGCAGAGATGGGATCTACCTCAGGAATTCCAGTTGAGGAGATTGGGTGCTCTGGTGGTGAGATGGTGACTTGCAATGCTGATTCAGAGATGGGCTGGATCTCAGATTCAGGTTCCCCCTGAGCATCAGAGATTACTAGTGCAGTAGCCAGCTCTGGTGCTGGTTCCCCCTGAGGTTCTGATTCCTTGGGAGGAGAGTTGGTCTGCTTCTTCTTCTTCTTCTGGATTCTGATGGGGGATTTGGAGCTATCAGAGTCACTCTGAATGACAGCTCTTCTTCTCCTCTTCTGTCTCATCTTCTTGACAGGAGCCTCTGTTGGTGCATCCTCCTCTGATGCAAGTTCCTCAATGTCTCTTATTCTTTTAAGAAGAGACTCATTTTCAGCCTTTAGTCTATCTCTTTCCTCAGTTAAGAGATTAAGTTTGCACTCAGTCTCTTTCCTTAGATCAGAGATATCAACTTTCAGCCTACTGTTCTCTTCTTTAACAAAAGAATAAGTGGCTTGGATAGTTTGGAACTCTTCCCAAAATGATGACATTGGATCATCATTTAAGGCTGTGCCTACCGAAGAAGAAATAGAATCAGAAGTAGAGCATACCTCATCATCTGATTGTGCCATGAGGCAAAGATCTTCAGTTTCTGCATCCAAGCAGCAGAATGCTTCATCAGAGTCGGAGTCTGAACTGGACTCTGATTCAGAGAGTGGATCTCTCTCAGCTTGTTCTGAGACAAATGCTCTCCTTCTTCTGTGTTGATCATCTGGTTTCTTTTCTTCTTCATGTCCTTGCTTCTTGGACACTCTTGGATAGGGGCAGTTTGCTTTAAAGTGCCCAGGTTGTCTGCAGTTGTAGCAGAGGTACTCTCCATTGCTTTCAGAAGATTTGGTCTTCTGATAAGGTCTTCTGATGGAAGATGGACTCCTTCCATCTTTCTTCATGAACTTCTTAAACTTCCTGGCAAAAGCAGCCATATACTCATCAGATAAAAGAGTAGAAGGGTCAAAGTCACTTACCTTTGAGGTACTGGCAGTGAGAGCAGTGGTAGTCCTTTCATCAGGAACTTCTTCCTTCTCTTCATGCATCTCAAACTCATAAGCCTTGAGATCAGAGATGAGTTTCTCAGTGGCATAAGTCTTGATGTTCTTGCTTTCCTGGACTGCAATCACTTTCATCTTCCAAGCTGAAGGCAGTCCCCTGAGGATCTTCATGTTGACCTCTTTGATGGTGAGCTCCTTCCCAAGCTCAGAAATCTCACTAATGAGAATCAGCAGTCTCTCATGCATCTTAGCCATGCATTCTTCTGGCAGAAGTTTGAAATCATCAAACTTTTTCATAGCAATGGTCAACTTGTTATCTCTTTCTTGTTCATCTCCTGCTCCAATCTCATCCAGCTTATCCCAGATTTCTTTGGCAGTTCTGCACTTCTTGATTCTGTTGAAGTATCTTTCATCAATAGCCTTGTAAAGAATGTCCTTGGCTATATTATCTAGGTTGTACTGCCTTTTCTCTTCCTTGGTCCATTCTGACCGGGCTTTCTCAATCATCTGGGGTTGAGAGTTGTCAATAGAGTGAGCAGGATTGATCTTCATGAACTGGATGAAGGGGCCATTTTCCAAGACTTCCCACATTTCATCATGAAGGGCACATAGATGTGCCTTCATTCTGATCTTCCAATCATCATACTTCTGATCTGTGAACATAAGATGCTTTGCAAGAGAATTATCCATAATAATAAATAAAGAGAGGCTAAGAACAAGTGGATCTTTGTTCAGAGAGTAACCTAAAAGATTACAAGAACAAGGAGGCTCTGATACCACTTGTTGGTCCCGTTTAATATGGTAATCAGTCTAGAGGGGGGGGGGGTGAATAGACTGATTGGTTTTTCAACTTTTTCTCAAAGTCAAAACTGACTTATCAGAGAAGGTCTGATTCTGATGACAGAGAAAGGCTGGTTCTGATATCAGAACTGGCCTTGGCAGCGGATTCTGATCTGTCCGGGTAGCCTCAGAAAAATACTAAGGCAAATGCCTTTCTGATAACTCTGAAAACAAGATCTGCTGAACACAGATTCCAAGTCTTAGAGTTAATCAGTTAATATCCTAAGTGCAGAAATATAAGTTGCAGTAAAGTAAATGACACCGGATATTTTTATAGTGGTTCAAGGAACAACTCGTTCCTCTAGTCCACTGTTCCACTAGCTTTGAAGTAGATCGGTTACAAAGCTAAATCCTAGCACTCAAGAAGCACTCCTCGTCTTCTTCAAGCCTAGATGCCACCCAGGATGCAGTTCCACGCCCTGATGGCTGATCCTTTCACTCAGCTTCCCGGAAGTATCACCACTTCACTACTGCAGTTACTTGGACGCCCTTCTTTTCAGAAGATCCTTTTGAAAAACAGAGTTTTTTCCTCCAACTTGCTTCGTTACAAATGATGTTTGATGAAGTTCTTGAAGTGTTGAAGAACAGGATGAACTTTGCTTGTTTGTTGGGGATGAGAGATTTGGAGTTTGAATCTTCCCAACGTAAGCTTGTCTTGTTGAAGGTTGTAGAATTTGAATCTCAAGAGAGCTTGAATGATGATGTGTAAGAGTTGTAGCAAAGTTGTTTTTCAGTTCTTCGGTGTGTAGCTTATATACTGAGGTTGTCTGCCCGTTGGAGGAGGAGACAACTGCATTAAATGCGCGTACAGTTGACTTGACCGCCGTTTTTGGAAGGTTTCTATTTTTAAAATATATCTTCCCGGATTCCTTGGTCAATCATTTGCAATCAATCCTTCAGCGTATCAGGCTCATTTAATGTGCATTAAATGCTTTCCTTTCAGGCACAGTCTTCTAGCCGTTGGATGTTTTTACCCGTTGAATTCATAGCTGTTGGATGTTGCTTGAAAATTTCTAAGTGTTCGTCGAGCTCTGATCAGGCTCTTCTGATATGTTCGATTCTGATGGCTATCTGATGAGTTGAGTTCTGATGGTCTTCTGATCTCTGACTGAACTCAGACTCTGACTCTGATAGGTCCGCTGATGAGTACTTCTGATCTGTAGATCTCATCGGCTATCAGATGACCAAGTTTATCAGCAACTCTCATGGTGCAACTCTGATGGACTTCCGGTAAGAGAACTCTGATGGAGCAGTTCTCATAAAGCAAGTCTGGTCGAGCCATTCTGATGCACTTCTGATCTGATCCAAAGTAGAGCAACTCTGATCGTCGACTACACTAATACTTACAATTGAAAAGTCTAATACATAAAATCTAATTTGGGGGTACTCTAACTTTCTAGTCCTATAGCATCATCAAAATCTAATTACATTTATTCCTTACATAGGGCTATAAACATATTTAAACCTTAATATTATCATATTACTATATGATAATATCAAAATATGATAATATGATTTTCGAGTGATCCCAATTTTCACCAATAGTACTTCATCCATCCGTTCTTTTTAACATTCACACATTTTTAAGATGTTTTTTTATTATTTGTCTATCTCTCCATTTTAATATTTTTTTCTTTCTACAATGTCTATATACCCCAACTTGTATTATCTTTTTTCTTTCTTTTTACAAATTTTTCTCTTTCGTACTTTTCATTATTTTCTTTCTTCTTAATATATTCTTTTTCCAACCATTTCATTTATCTTACACTCTCTTTACCACAATATATATATATATATATATATATATAGGTTTTGGTTCAAATAAGAACACGATCTTATGAGAAAAATGAGAACGAATATGGACTGTTAGATTTGCCTCAAGTGAAATTCAGTGTGCATGAGATGAAACTGTAATGTGCATTAGGTGAAATTGAAATGTGCATCACAAATGGTACGATAGAATGACATTATGTGCAGTTGAATTGTGCATTGCGTGAAATTGAAATGTGCACTAGGTGAAGCTGAAATGTGCAGAATAAAAAATACGATGTGATGTTATTTTTGTACTTTTTTTTCGCACATATCAGTTTCATCTAATGCACACTTGAGTTTAAATTTTTATCTTGTACATTTCAATATCATTTAATGCACATTTCAGTTTCATCAAGTGCACAATTTGGTTCCACATAATACAATCCAATGGTCCAAATTCGTTCTCATTTTTCTCCTAAGATCTATTCTTACCGGAACAGCTCCCTATATATATATATATATATATATATATATATATATATATATATATATATATATATATATATATATATATATATATATATATATATATAACACTTGAATGATAAAGAACCGAGAGAATCGTTTTTGTATAATTTTCCATAGATTTCATTAAAGTTGAGCATTTTTATGGTACTAAAGTCGAGTATTTGTTTTTGAAAGTACTAAAGTTGAGTACTAAAAAACCAAAAATATGAATCAACATGAGGTCATAAGTTCCTATCATACTCCTTCCGTCCCTAAAAGTAGTTCCACTTTTTTTGGGTTGTTCCAATAAGTTCCACCTTTCATTATTTGTCAACCCAAATTTACATCAAAACAATGTCAAACAGGGTCACAACAGTATACTATATATTCCGTAGTAAATTTTACCTCTCAAAAAATTTATTTTCTTAATATATGTGAATTTTCACCCGAAACTTGTTTGTGGGATGGAGGGGTATCTTTTCATACTATCCTCCATATCGCATTAGTTGCAACATTGTACATTACACACTATTCATGTACTCTACTTTGACTACATTTTATTTATTAATGTATGTGAATTGGTTGGGCGTAAAGCGTCTGTAGGTGGCTTTTTAAGTCTGTTTATTATAAAGTTTCTTAATCTGATATTTAATTATTTTTTAGTAATACGAAATTAAATATAATGATCATCAAAGTTGAAAAAGTGAATGTTAGGCAACCTAAAACAACAAGGGAGGAAGTATTTTTTTAGCAATAAAATACAGAAAGGGTGGGGGAGAGAGCGAGTAGGAAACGGAAAGCCTGAAATGAATGAGAACCCCGCCATCGCTTCTTTCGCTCGCGGTTGACTCTGCCCTTATTAACCTCCCTTACTTCTCTGATCTATCCTGCTTGCCCGATCACATCCTCGTTGAACTCTTCCTGGTACGATTTCTTCCCCATATCACTCGCTCCCCTTCAGTATCAGTTTAATTTCAGCATGACTACGTGCTTGAATCATTTGTGGGTGTTTCATCCATTGTTGCAGAATTCGAGCCAGCTGTTTTATAATTTTGTTTGAATCATTTGTGATTTGATCTGCAATTCATAATGGTTTCCCTGAAGCTCTGTGTGGATTTGGTGGATTCTTAACTTGTACTACGTATGTGTTTGTTTAGTGGATGTCTGTTCATTTCAACGGGAGAGAAGAGCTACTTGATGATACACTTGTTTGTGTGTGGTTTTGTTATTGCTTTAAATCCTTTAATTATGTAATTCCATTTATACTGTTGCAGAATTTGATTCACATGGAAAACAGATCTTTTAGAATCTTTCATGGAATATGGAGCTTTAGGCCTCTAGGGATTGATCGCATCTGAAATCTGAACCCATTGTTTCACTTTTTAAAAATCACTAAGGTCCTATGAATTTATTTATTTACAAAAAATGCAAAATATATTAACATGTGCTCTATACTGATAATCATAGAGCCTAGCCATTTTTTAGAGAAATGGTTTTCTCTTATCATATAGCCTAGTGCTTTTTTGAGCATTGATATTAATGGCTCCAGTTTACTCTCCTGATTTCATGAGATAAATAGTCGTGATTCCAGTACATTATAAAGTGTTAGTCTTGTAGTAATGTTTTTTTTCATGCTCTATTAGCCATAATATCGATCTGCCCCGGATGCAAAGACTGATTATCTTTCCCGTGTTCCATGGATAATACATAGCATGTCTTCTATTTTCTACAGAAAACATTAAGAGCCGGAAAACTCAATGAGAAGATTTTGAAGCTGTTTGTGGGTACTGGTAAAGAAGAAGTCATTTCACTTGTTGAGTCTTTTAACATCCAAGCTGTTCTTACTCCTGTTCTTCCCACTAGTAAGTCATTCATCAATATTCCCATTATCCTTCAAGACATTATATAACCATTTGGAATTCTTTTCTTCCAGGATGCTGTGAGAAGAAAGTCTGATTCTGTTCAAAATCAACTGTATTTAGCTATTTTCTTGTTTGTGGTCGAAACCTGAGAAAAATGTCACAAGTCAACATCAGAGATGATGAGATTGACATTGTTATAGGTGCACTTCAATCTGACCTCACATCATTCATGGAAGAATGGAGATTGATCTTCTCCCGTTTCCACCTCATAATCGTCAAAGACCCTAACCTTCAAGAAGAACTCACCATCCCTTCTGGATTTAACCATCATGTCTATACAAAACCCGATATCCAACGGATTCTTGGCGCATCATCAAACCCTGATCTCTTTTCCGGCTACTCATGCCGATATTTTGGCTATCTTATCTCAAAGAAAAAATATATTGTCTCAATTGACGATGATTGTTTCCCGGTAAAGGGAAACACAAACACCACTGATCCTATAACTGAACACATCAACAACCTCACAACACCTGCCACACCCTTTTTCTTCAACACTCTATATGACCCTTTCCGGAAAGGAACTGACTTTGTCCGTGGGTACCCATTCAGCATGAGGAGTGGTGTACCTTGTGCATTGTCGTGTGGACTCTGGCTTAACTTGGCAGACTACGATGCTCCCACGCAGGCACTCAAGCCGGGCCAGAGGAACTCGCGGTACGTGGATGCTGTTCTCACCGTCCCGGCGAAGGCGATGATGCCTATAAGCGGGATTAACATCGCCTTCGACCGAGAGTTGGTGGGGCCTGCCCTGTTGCCAGCTTTCAGGTTAGCAAAGGAAGGGAACCTGAGGTGGGAGACAATGGAGGATATATGGAGTGGGATGTGTGTGAAGGCGGTGTGTGATCATTTGGGACTGGGGGTGAAGAGTGGGCTCCCGTACGTCTGGAGGAAAGAAAGAGGGGACGCGATACAGAGTTTGAAGAAAGAGTGGGAAGGGGTGAAGGTGATGGAGGAAGTAGTCCCTTTCTTCCAATCGTTGAAGTTGTCACCACAGGCAACTACTGCGGAAGCTTGTGTTATTGAGATTGCTGCGGCTGTGAAGGGGCAATTGGGGAATTCAGAATCTGTGTTTTCTCGGGCTGCTGAGACTATGGTGGAGTGGGTGAAGCTCTGGAAGACTGTGAAAGCTCAGTGAACACCATAGTGATGTTTGGTCCAGGTGTTCAAGTTATCTTCTGCAGTTTCGGTTGTTTTGCCTGTTAATTAGTGCTGATAAGCCTGCTTGAAGTTGATGTTTATGGTTTACTATCTCTGTTCCGATTAGAATTGATGTCTTCCCCTGCATGGCATTGAGCTCCTAGTAACACTATATTACACTTGCTATAATAAGAGAATATGTTGATACACGTCAAAGTTTTGATAAAAGGGAGGTTCATTTGTACTTGTCTTGAACGACATTTCTAATTTAAACTTTTGAAGTACTTGGTGAAAGTATGTTAACCCACTGTTTGCCCATTGTTTTGTTTTGCTTCCCTAATTGTTAATATGGGAAAAAAAAAGTGCAGGGATAGTGTGCGTGTTGGTAGAATTGTTGATAACAAGTGACACTACAACCACAAACATGTCAAAATTGTAGGAATATATTTTAGATACTCCCGTTGTTATCACATTCTGGAGAAAGCTCCGACTCTGCAGCCGGTGCAAAAAATATTTTAGATACTCCCTGCATCGTATAGATGATTCGACTATTTACGCTATGTCAATTGTTTATCAAATGTCATAGTTTTGCAACAACTTCAATAATCATCTTGCAGCTAGCTAGTCCTTATTTTTAATTGGGAAAATAACATCAACTATTATTCATAAATCAGGAATAATGTGTACCTCAGAAATAGCTTTTAATAATACTGACCATTTAATTATATAACAAAAGTGGTACATAATAATTTTCCACTAAAATTCGATCATTTAATTCATCAAGCAAAATTATATCAAATGTCATTTAAGTGATCATTTTGAGACAACTAGTATGAGAGAATTCCTTAAATATGAGTAAAAATGTTTTGAAATTCCAAAATGGAAATATCATGTTTTTTATTCCCTGAATAGGAGTAAATTTCTGCCAAGTTTGACATTATAATGTTTTAAACATGGCATTTTTTTCAAACTTGGCAGATTGCTCTATTCAGGGAATAAAAATCATGATACTATTTTGGAATTTCAAAACATTTTAACTCCTATTTAGGGCAATTTTTGAACTATTATTTATTTGTTTCATATTCTTTTTTATACGGAGTATGATAAATGACTGGATTTGTGCTTTGTAGTCACGATATGCTCATTATCTTTCTTATATATTCAAATTTTTTTGTATTATTAAAAATCATTTGTAAAATACATATTGTTATCATTGATGTAGAGGAGTAGTTAGTGCTATTTAAAGTTATTTCCCTTTTCCAATTCTATAAATAATTGAGCATCAGTTTTTATCATATTGGAATTCATTTGTTCTGTTCAATATAACTTTTAGTGCAATTTTTAAATATATACATTTTATTTTTATCTATTAAAACTAATAAGTGTTTATTAAGAGATAACTAAATTTAGTGTTATTCAAACTTTAAGCTCCATAAATTGGAACACAATTTGGGGAGGAGGTAGCTTGTAAAACGTCCTTAGCCAAATCTTTGTCACAACATACATACTACAAGATTTATTAAAAAGGACAGTGGCAATTCATAAAATTATGACCACAGCATTAGCACATGAATCTTATTACAATATAAATAATCCACTAGAATTATGATGACACTTGTGGCATGGTACAACAGCGCTACACTGCATAAATTTTCCACCAAATATGAAGCAAGTATGATTGTGCCGGCTTGAATCTTCAAACTTAAGATTCAGCAGAAGGGGTAAAACATTGTGATATGGAGAACAAACTGTGATGACGGCGATGTGGTGTTTTGTTTTCGGACTCAACAGCAAGTTGTTCCTTACGAGGAAAGTGCTTATAGAAAGCTTTCACTGCTCCTGTTGCACCATCTTCACCTTTCATGGCATTTGCCAGTTCAATAGCACGTTCTTTCACCTACACAATCATCATCTCAAGCAGTTAAAAACTCAATAATATGGATTAGAATTAGTAAAGATATTTGATATCTCACTATCAGCCTCATAGCACCCTTAGAACCCACATGGAGAAAGTATTATAAACAGAAGCCTTTTGGGGGAGATATGGGATTTAGAGATTGATTATATGAACACTCTGTTTGCGTCGTCTGGGGATTTTGTAGGGTAAGGAAAGGGATGGCATGTTTGATTTTTATTTTACTGATCATTTATCTCATTTCTTTAGTTTTAGACTAGAAAATTCAGGGAATATTTTATCCTTGTTTCCTCCCATCCTCCCTGAAATGCCCATACCAAATAAAAGTACGTCAATCTTACCAGTAACAAAGTTGTACAGAAACACAGGTAGTTCATTAATTTCAAACACAGCTTCCTCAAGTTCTACTCATTCTGCTATTTCCGCTAAACCTTACCCCCACCAAACAGACACACAATCTATCTACAGGAAAACTTTGGTTACCTTTGGGTCAAGCATGAACTCGATGGCAGCAACCAGTTTTTCAAGTGAAAATTCATCTATGGGGATAGGTGCAGGACCAACTCCCCTAGCATATACCCGATCACCCCAAAAAGGCTGGTCTCCGAAGAAAGGCACCACTGTTGTAGGGCACTGAAAATTAAACAGCTCCACAAATCAATTAGCTAGTGAAATAAATAATACTCCTTAAATAGGAAAAATGACATTGAGGAAATTTAGTGACTATTCAGTAATGGTTATTTGGTTGAAATGGCTTAATCTGCTAATGTTTTTGAAGATATTGTAAAAGCATTTAGCAACATCCATTTCAGCCAAGTAACCCACACAGGGTTACCAAACAGAGTCTTAGTTATCACCGCAGCTCTAAGGCCAGCAGCAGTTGTTCCTGCACCCCCATGATGCACCTGATTCCATGATAAGTACATTTGCTGGTTTAGTTCTAAATTTGTATTACTACCTCCATCCCATATTGTACGTCTTGTTTTAGTTTGCCATAATTAATAATAAAGTGGTTCAAAAGTAAAAGTTATGATTGAGATTTGAGTATAATAAAAGTAAAGTGAACTACATATTTTTGCCAAAAGATAGAACATGACTTTCATTTTGAGACAACCCAAAAGGAAAGTAATACAACCAAAATGGAACGGAGGGAGTACCGATTATATGTGTAAAAAAAGTTCTAAACAAGCGATGAGTAGGAGGGCTTACCACAGCAGCACATTGCAAAAACAGCCAATCATGTGGAGAATTATCTAACAAATACACATAATCCTTGGGCTCCTTTACTGAAAAAAGAACAGCATAATAAGTTCTTAATCAAGGAGCCAATGAATTCTTATACTCACTCCATTCTCTAATAAGTGTCACTTGGGTGAGAAATTGCTCTCAAATAAGTGCTGTTTTCAAATACCAAGAGAGCATTAATGGCACATTTTCCACTATTTCTCTTTCTCATCTTTAAATGATCCTTAGTATCCCCATTCCAAAACTTTTTTCGTACTTGGACTTCATGGTCATTATTCTTCAATGTTGATCTTTCATCTTTGAGCATTATTATTTACCACTATATGTTTTAGAAACAGTATAAGTGTATAACAAATCACTATATCAATTATAAATATTAAAACAAATCGTTCAAAGTTATTACTTCCATGTAACAAGTTAATGTAAATTTTGAATAATTAATGGTAAAGTTGATAACTGACTTCAGATGACAAAATGGGAGAAAATTTTTGGACGGATGGAGTACTTCATACGGACTACGGAGGATATCTTTAATGCACTAATGAGGGGTAATCTAGTCATATTAATATATACTTCATATTAATCTAGTCATACATTTATCTTATATTTGGAAAAACTAATTGTTTGAGGGAGCAATGAAGATAGTTCTACTCCAGTTAAAGATTCATACTTACAATTCCCAAGGCCACCCCACCCTTTGTTAATAATGCCTCTCTGTCCTGTGATTTCTAGCGCTCGAACAATTATCTCGGTCAGTTTTTCAGGTTCTTCAACTGGCTGCAGAAAATGCACGGCGTATAGAGATATAAATGCAGTAGCAAAATAAATAATTAGAATGTGGACGGGAAGAAAGGACTATTTTGATCAAAAGAGGAATGCAAAAGCAAGAATGGAATTACTTCCACCAACTTTAAAACTCTTTCAGACACTATGTTATGGACATGGTTGGGAGATAAAAATAAAAGAACTGAAATCAATAAATACTAATAACTTCTCACACTATGAAAGAAAAGGTATTGTCAAACTTCAAGATTCCAAGGGATTATTCTGAATTTACTGATCATATCATTAATGAATAGATTACTTCTACTTTACTAATCCTGACAGTCCAGATATCACAGCAGTAGAGGAACCTTAAACCTTTTACAACAGTGCTAGTAGGAATACTAATTACTAACTAAAATAGAACATAGAATATGTATACTAATAGAAATGCACTAGTGCACTGCTAATAATAACAGGAAACTAATACTAATAAAATCAACTCATAATAATAACAGTAGTAGTACTATTTTTTTTAATGAGTAGTAGTACTAATTAATAATAATAATAATAATAATTAATAATAATAATCACCATCATCATAATAATTTAAGTTTTTTTAGCTCATATCAAACTCTCGTGTTTTTTAAAACCCATCATTTACTCCCTATGTCATTATAAGGTTGTCTAGTTTCAATTGTCAATGGTCAACATTATCTAGCTTAAGTAGCTTCTATATATGTCTCAAAACAATGTCTCTTGAGGTTGGAGTTGAAAAAAAGAGAAGTCGAATTGATTACCAAAACTATAATAATGCGGACTATCAAAATGGGTTAGAGGTTATAAGCACTAAGTAGTTTGGACTTAGGAGTAAGCAGGCAGCCACTTACAAGGCTGCCAAAGCCAATGTAGATGGGCTTTTGGCCATCTTCAAGCCATTTCAATAGTGATTCTGGTGGAGCATAGGTAGAAGCAAGATCTAGGAAGCAAAACCCAACAACATCAATTTTGGGACCCCAATCTGCCAATCATGAAAAATCAAGTCAATTAGAATATAAATATGGCTACAAAAAGATATTATATAGGAATAGCTAGTCGCCCCACGCCCCCACTCAAGATACATATAAAAAATCTTCAAACTCAAAACAGGGAACAAAAGCAACAACCATAAGTGTAGGGCAGGAAAAGCATAAGATTGAGTGTTGAGATATACAAAAAAAACACAAACTGCTTGCATGGTCAATTGGTCATTACATTATTAAACTGGTGTAAGTGAAAATATCGGCAAAAGATGACCTTTGGGTTTAGAAACAAGGTGGGGACTCCAGATGTACCCATGTGGAATTTCAGGTGAACTGAAATTATTAGTTAAATATGTAAAGCGCCTCATTTTCA